ACAACGGTACTTGGATAAGCTACAGGTAACTTTGCACCGCTTCAGGGAGTGGACTCTAGATCATGTGCCTCGAGAACAAAATAGTGAGGCCGATACACTTGCTAATTTGGGGTCATCTGTTGAAGAAGATAATATCGTCCCGGGGACTGTCGTCCAATTTATCGAAGTCTGTGATTGAAGAGGGTCATGCCGAGATAAATTCTACAAGTTTGACTAGGGATTATATATTGACTATTTGAAAAATGGAAAACTCTCATCGGACCACAAAGAATCGAGGGCCCTATGAACCAAGGTTGCTAGGTTCATATTAGATGAAGATGGTACATTGTAACGGAGGACGTTCGATGGACCCTTAGCGGTATGTTTAGGGCTGGAGGACACCGATTATGTTGTACGAGAAATCCACGAAGGTACTTGTGGGAATCACTCCGGCGCCAAGTCTTTGGTCCGCAAAATTATTAGAGCAGGGTATTACTGGGATAGCATGGAAAAAGAGACTAAGGAGTTTGTTAAAAAGTGTGATAAATGTCAAAGGTTCTCACCAATGATTCATCAGCCCGAAGAGCAACTACACTCAGTCATGTCCCCGTGGCCTTTCATGAAATAGGGAATGGACATAGTTGGCCCTCTACCAATGGCACCAGGTAAAGCTAAATTCATTTTGTTTATGACTGACTACTTTTCTAAGTTGGTGGAAGCACAGGCCTTCGAGAAGGTCAGAGAAAAAGAAGTTATCGACTTCATTTGGGACAATATCGTGTGTCAATTCGAGATACCCGCCGAAATCGTGTGCGACAATGGCAAGCAATTCATCGAAAGCAAGGTAACAGAGTTCCTCGAAGCACACAAAATAAAGAGGATTTTATCAACACCATATCACCCAACCGAGAATGGACAGGCCGAGTCAACAAACAAAACCGTCATTCAAAACCTAAAGAAAAGGTTGGACGATGCAAAAGGAAAATGGAGAGAAGTTCTACCCGAGTTCCTTTGGGCATATCGAACGACATCGAAATCCAGCACGGGGGCTACTCCGTTCTCTTTAGTATACGGCTCCGAGGCCTTAATCCCGGTCGAAGTCAGAGAACCCAGCTCCAGGTTTTGACATGCATCGGAGGAGTCAACTCACGAGGCTATGAATATTAGCCTCGAGATATTGGACGAAAAATGAGAAGCAGCACTTGTTCGGATGGCCGCACAGAAGCAAAAAGTTGAGAGATACTATAATAGAATGACCAACATTCAATACTTCGAAATCGGGGACTTAGTTCTATGGAAAGTCACCCTCAACACTCGAGACCCGAATGAAGGGAAACTAGGCCCGAATTGGGAAGGACCGTACCGAGTCATCGAAGTTGTCGGCAAAGGATCTTAAAAACTTGGAACGATGGAAGGCGAGCAATTTTCAAACAACTGGAATGTATCATTACTCAAGCGATATTACTGCTAAGGTATGGCCTTCTCCTTTTTCATTTGAATTTAAGGCTAACTCACTGCAGGTGTTCGATCGATGCCAAGGGAACCTTTCCACACGAAGACCTTGGGTTTTAAAGCACGCATTGAACTCTTTTTCCTTTAGATCGAATTTTGTCCCAAATGGGTTTTAACGGCGAGGTTTTTAACGAGGCAACAACTATGTGCTACCTAAGGAGAACTCAACAGTATCCAAGGCTTCTTTTCAATCAACCTCGAATACTGGGGGGCATCACCCTCGGAGACTATACTTTCGAGGAAAATACTTCACGCCAAAGAAGGCCTCGATAGGAAAACTTTGTAATGGAACAAACGATCAGATGAACCGTGTCCATATAGCAAGTCGAGCCTCGACGGCAAAACATGTACGCATGTATCAAATTATTCAAAGAAGCATTCTTTCTATATCAAAAAACACTTTGTGTCTCAAAGAAATTTGCTACTATACAAACATCGTACTTGTGATTTTGCAAGAAACGGCTCAAGGGCCAAAACGCGAATACACCTCGAATACTCGGGGACTCTCATCGACAGTTAACGCATTCGAGTCTTCTAAACTTGAATTCATAAGACCTCAAAGAGGCATCCCCTCGACATAAAGGCCAAGGCCATCATACTCGGGGACTAACCTTTTGAACAAGTTCAAAAGGTTATCGGGAAACAAGTCCAAGAGACATACCCGAAGGCTACGACTATATTAAAGGCTACGGCCATATTAAAGACTACGGTCACATAAAAAGGCTACGGCTGAAATAATGCGTCTCGGAGACGTCGGACTTCCGCCATAAGTTGAAGGCCTTCAAACACTTTGAAAACCGATTAAATCAGGCTACCCTCAGCAAAAGCAAATGATAAAAGGCTTCGATAAAATCAGCCCTCGAATAAATTAAAGGCTTCGATAACATCAGTCTTCGAAAGAGCCTCAAGAGGCATTCGATTATTGTTACACAAACAAATTACAAATAAGGTTCCGATCGGTCGAACCTTCGAAAAATTCAACGGGTACAAAAAACACATGCTAAGGCATAGAAACATTTTCACTAAGTCTTTTAGCCGAAAAGAGGAAAAAATTAAAGCCGTCCTAGAGGCCGAATTGGCCCAACTTAAAGAGCCTAAGGGCCGACCTAAAAGAGCCTAAGGGCCAATATAAAAGAGCCTAAGGCCGAAGCATGCAAAGTTCGAGACCTTATTCTCACTCAACTCGGACACAAAAGTCCCATCATCCCGAGCTCGTATCAAATCGATTTAAGCATAGCTCGAGGGCTAACAAAAACCTTAAGAGGTATTCTATTATGAGCTCGAAGATCGTCCATTGATCACTAAAAACCTAAGGGTTTGTTATATTCTGAGTCTCAGCCAGTTCTCACTTGATCATTGGAATTATAACATCAAAAAAATTTCACAAATGAAGATGAAGAAAAATTCAATACAAGTGAAAAGAAAGGGAATTCATTATATTCACATAAAGTATTTACAATGCCCGCAAGGGGCCTTACACAAAAACAAAACGAGGGAACCTAATCTATTTAGGTGTCACGTCCTCGGGAGCCGCATCTTCAGGGACCTCCCCCTCGGGGACTTCATCCTTATCTTCTCCGCTCTCACAGCCACTGGCGGAATCCTCACCATCAGAGAGTAAAGCGGCAGCCTCATCCTCCAAAGTCTTTGCTTTCTCAATGTCAGTTGAGAGGTCGAAGCCACGAGCATGCACCTCCTCAAGAGTTTCTCTCCGGGATGGTCGCCTGGCATGGTCAAGAGCACACGATAACTTAACTTCGGCTGTGATGATGAGGAAGCTTTTTCTTTTTGAGGAACAGTTTTAGATGTTTTAGCCATTGTGGTTTAGAAATTCAAGAGAAGAGAAAAAGTTGACGCTGAAGTACGAACAAATTGAGAGAAGGGTGAACTCAGAGAAGTTGAAGGAGTTAATAAGATTTTAAGGATGATTTGAGAAGAAAAGTTTGCAAAAATTGTGAAGTTGGCCTATTTATAAAGGCCGCTTAAGCGTGTTGGGGAAGCCAAATAGCCAACCATCAGTCGCCTCCAATTAATGACCTTGGGAACTACACGGAAACGACTTTTCAATCATTTCAGCCGATGACATCACGAGATTGACATCTTGATTCAAGGCGTCGGAGCATCGAAGATCAAATCGTTTCTTATCGTCTTACTCTAAGAAACGCGGGGACTATCTATATAAGGTCGAAATTAGGTATGCCCGATTTCCCGGGCTCGAGGGGTCGCCTTAAGCCCGAGTTCAGGATAGTTCGAGTTCGAGCTCGATGGACCAGGCTCAAGCTCGACGACAGAGTACAAGGCTCGAAGAATTAAGTGTTCGAGGAACGTCGGAGCCTAATATGACTAGGCCTCGAGATAATGCCGTTATGAATTTGTAACAGAATGAGCAAGATTCCTGCCACGTCCCCAAAATCATGGCGTAAATCCCGGAATAGATTTGTACGAATCCGTACTAGGCGGTTAGATAACTGTCCCAATAAGATTCTTTACTGTAAATAGAAATGTAACTTATTTAGGGTTCCCCTATTATATAAAGGGGACCCCAATCATTTGTAAACATCATCTAATCATTGGCAAAGAATATACCCTCTTACTTTTCCGCTCATTGTTCATCAGAATTGTCCTTTAGCTTTATTATTCTTGCTTTGTTGTTCTTGGTCCATCTCGAGGTCACTTTGGCTCGAGGTCGATATTGCTTAAGCAACACTGATTTGATTTACTCGTTTCTTTCATTTATATGTTATACTTCTTGATTATTTATTAGTATGAACCAAATCACATATCTTTAAAACCCCAAATCAAATTTAATTGTTACTCGTATTTTCGAGGTAAACAATCTTGTAATAGTCAGAATTGACATTTTCAAAAATCATCTTTCGGCTATCCTTTCCTTTGGTTCTTTCAACCAAAGGCGGGCCTACACTAGGACTTGAGGGGTCACGTGAACCCATTAACTTCGGCAAAAATCCTGTATATATATTCTATGTATAGCTGTATATACTTCGGGAACCCCTTAAATATTTTTCTTGGCCTCCTAACTGACGAAAGTATACCTGGAGCAATGGTTCACCTCTGCTGCGTAAATTCTGCTCCTTGTCTTATGACGCGGGTTCGAAATTTACCTTCTACAATTTGTTTTTATGTTTCTTTTGCTTCTTATAACTGGAATTATAATTATATACTAGTACAATAGTACTATTTATTAGTACTAATTTATAATTATTTATTTTACCTTTTCTCAATTTAATTATATTTTAATAGTTATAAATAATAAGTCAATTTTATTATTTAATTAATCTCCACAATCCTACGGGCTACCCCAAACGTCAAGTCCTAAAGACTAAAAACCATTCTTCAGTTATTCACTTCTTCCTCAATCAAAAATCAGAAGCTCCCATTAACTCACCCCTCAGGCGGTTCAACTATCCCTTTCTTTAGTTCTAGCCGAAATCATGAATTAGAAAAGAGCAACTTCTTCCTATTCTCACAACCTGCGTCCACATCCCATATGTATAAACTCACAAACTGGTTATAGTTGTAAGGGATTGAATTTATTATTCCATCCTCGTAACTTCTGATACAGGCTTCAAACCAAGGCAAATACATTTACGTAACAAAAAACATCTAGCTATTTACATAGTAATAAGCTATATGACCTCTCTCAAAATACCATTTGATTCATATTCTAGGAAGCCAATATCCACCATACTCTTCTCTGATGCAGGATGTTCGTTAGGCTTTTTATTCTCAAAACAATATACAGGGGCCTGCCATTGTGCATCCTCCAGAGCTGCTCCCACTTCAAACGTCATGACATGAATGGACCTTCCTGCAACATTACACGAGCATCCTTTATAAAGAGTATCATAACAATGAGATTCAATCTTGCGACAAGATAGTTTTTGCATGGGTTTGTAAACAAAGCTTGTGAAAGGTCAAGTAGAATAGGAAGAAAGAACTCGGAAATTATCAACAAAAAAGAGGAAGAATAAAAGGTCAGAACTTTCCAGAAAGCCTTTGGTAGTTGTACATAGATGATCGACTTCAGAAAGCTAGTTGAGCATTATAGGTCAGGCCATGAATACATCAGTGGCAAAAGAAAAGATTAGATCTGACCTCATTTGAAGTTTAGAGCCAAAAATTAGTTCTCGTCGACTCTCTTTAGTCCTGATGTAGCTCAACCAAATGCAGATGTTATTTTATCTGGTCAACTTCTTGCACTAATCCATAACCGTTGTGATGTTATTTTATCTGGTCAACTTCTCGCGACTAATCCATGACAGTTGTTGGTCTGTCCGGTCATTTTAAGCTTAATGAAGCTATGGCTTTACGGCATTTGATTATAATACTATATAGAGCTGGTTTAGTTAAGATATAAGAAACATTTCAAGAACTAGAATGTTCTAATTTCTTTTTGTAATTATCTTAATCATATCCCATTTGGCTCTTCTTTCCTCTGTTTATCTCCTTTTATGGAGACAAACTCTAATTAGAAGTCATGGCATTGCAACAAGATATGGTATGGCAGTTCAGCTAGAAGATCTACTTCTGCTTTGACTTTAGCCATGCGAGGATACAACCTTTCTCTCGTAGCCTTATCAATGCCAGGGGCTTGCCTACTGCTGACACAATCGAATATGGAGGACCCCTTGCAAACAGGTTCCCAGTACCTGATTCCCCTGAAATAGTGTATATGGTTTCATTATAGTTGCACACTCGAAGCAGCAATGGAGTAGTAGGCGGGAGGAAGTGAAGCTTAAGAAGGTTTAATGGGTGACTTAGAACTGGAATCACAAGCAGGTGGCTGGAGACTGGTCGGAAAATCCATGGAATTCAAAGTTTGGATTCAAAATCATGGAGTGGCTGTTCTATATAGGTTTGAAACTTACTATTTGTTTTCTTTGTTGATGGTTCCTCTCTAATTTGGGTAACTTTCTGATAATTTGGAGATCAGGAGCAAGAGTAGGTTAGTTTTTAATCTTTGATTTCACAAATAATGGAGTATGGAAGTTGTATTAAAAATTTATTAATATTGTTATCCTTATTATTTTATTGGTGAAAGAATTACCATGGCATGATGATGGCAGTCACATGCAAGCAGAAGGAGCAACTTCCAAGGAAACGAGAGCAACAATATGGGTCCGAAGAAATATGCTAAGAGTGAGTAATGTGTTGGGTGTAGGTATTACAGGCTTTGAGGAAGAAAGAATGAAGCTACTGCTTAAAATGGATAAAAAAAGAACAGAGAAGAGGGGATCAGACCCAGTCAAGCAGAAAGGAAGAACGGAAGTGGAGAAACTTAAATGTCATATAACTAGGGAAGGCCAGGAATCAACAACAAAAGCAGGAAACAGAACTCATTTGTAATCAGATGAATTTCAAGATGGCAAGCTGGAATGTCAGCGGACTAAACAACAGGGAAAAAATAAGTATTGTATATATGTTTGTTAATACAAAAATGGAAGGCACATATTTTATGCTTACAGGAGACCAATATGGAGGTCTATTCGGCAAGAGATGCCAGACAAATTTGGACCAGCAGAGGGACTATTTCTATATTAGAAGCTAATGGGAACAGTGAGGGTATTCTGATCCTTCGGGCATGAGAATATGGGGGAAAATTGAAATTCTAAAAGGTCCACATTCAATTTCCGTTATCTTTTCAGACTGTTCTAACACATTCAGTAGGTGTCCCACAAGTGTATATGCTCCAAACAGAAGAATAGAAAGAATTGAAGTGTGGGAATGAGGTAGCAGCTGTTAGAGGACTTTGGATGGACCATGGGTTGTTTCTGGAGATTTCAATGTGACGAGATATGCAACTGAAAGAAGTAATAATCAGAGAGTCGCTAGAGGCATGGTGGAATTCTCGGATTTCACAGAAAATCTTGAGTTGATAAACCCACCATTAGAAAGGGGTGGATTCACATGGGCAAAATGAACGTCTGGGTGAACAGCATCAAGAATAGACAGATTTTTGCTTTCTTTGGAAAGGGATGATGCTTTCAGGTTCATTAAACAATCAGTACTGCCCAAGGTCATCTCGGATCACAATCCATTATTGCTTCAAAGTGAAAAGTGGATTACTAGAACAGATTCGACGTAACGGGAAGATCTGACTACACCATGACAAATGTATATAAAGTTGATATTCTGATAGAATACCTCAACTCCTTACAAGTGCAGTTAGATTTTAAGTTTAAGCTTTTTGTAGTGCGCACCTGAATGCACCTACTTTGTGATGTTTTTATAATACTTACCTTACATTGATAAATAAAAAAGAGTTAAATAATACACTGCCAACGAACATTATCCTCCAATGGAAATTCGGAACGATATGGGAGTTCGAGTGTATATGGAGACGAAAAAGGAAAATAAAAACTTAGAAATGTATCCGCTGTGTATAACAGTAAGGGATTTCGATTTGGAATATAGTATGTCGAATGCGAGGACAATTACAGGTTTGCTCTGTTTTTGCAGTCCTGATATTTTTCAATTTCAAGTATTCTACAATTTTACTACAAATTATCTACAACTGTACTACATAACAAATGTAGTTCAACTGTTATGTCTCTAAAAAATAATTGAAGTGTAACTGTTACACAGTAATTAAGGTTTGAAAAAGCAAAATGTGATCACAGAACAAAGTATCTACAAGTATAATAAAAATTTAATTTTTGTCAAATACTGAACACCTGAATATACAGAGGTCAGAAATACCATATTTTAATTGAGTGCAAGTACTTATGATTGTTGTAACACTAACGCGGTACAATCGTCAAGCAATTGTAACACATTTGGAGAAGAATAATGAACAGTGAAGTTGATTGATATGCCAACATNCTGCCCAAGGTCATCTCGGATCACAATCCATTATTGCTTCAAAGTGAAAAGTGGATTACTAGAACAGATTCGACGTAACGGGAAGATCTGACTACACCATGACAAATGTATATAAAGTTGATATTCTGATAGAATACCTCAACTCCTTACAAGTGCAGTTAGATTTTAAGTTTAAGCTTTTTGTAGTGCGCACCTGAATGCACCTACTTTGTGATGTTTTTATAATACTTACCTTACATTGATAAATAAAAAAGAGTTAAACTTCATTATTGAATAACAATGCTTATTTGAAGCCAGCAGAGAGTACAGACGAGAAGGAAAGAAGGACTTATCGGGAGTGTTACAAAAAGGCAAATAAAGAGGCAAAGTTAGCAGTTACGGCAGCTAAGAATGCGGCATTTGGTCGTTTGTACGAGGAGCTCGGAGGCAAAGGCGGGGACAAGAAGTTGTACCGGTTGGCCAAGGTAAGGGAGAGGAGGACCCGTGACTTAGACCAAGTCAAGTGCATCAAGCACGAGGATGGCAAAGTATTGATGGACGAGGCACTTATTAGAAGATGGCAAACATACTTCCACAAACTGTTAAACGAGGAGGGAGATAGAAGCATTGTGCTAGGTGAGTTGGAGTACGCCGAGAGTCAGCGAGATTTTGGATTTTGTAGGTGTATTAAGGTAGAGGAGGTGGAAGGGGCGATGCGTAAGATGTGCAGGGGCAGAGCGACGGGCCCAGACGAAATCCCGTTGGAATTCTGGAAGAGCGCGGGGCGAGCAGGCTTAGAGTGGCTCACTAGGTTGTTTAATGTTATTTTCAGGACGAAGAAGATGCTCGAAGAATGGAGGTGGAGTACGATGGTTCCATTGTACAAGAACAAGGGTGATATTCAAAATTGCAACAACTATAGGGGTATAAAGCTGTTGAGTCACACTATGAAGGTTTGGGAGAGGGTGGTGGAGGCCAAGGTGAGGAGGTGCGTGTCTATTTTCGAGAAACAGTTCGGATTCATGCCGGGGCGTTCGACTACGAAAGCGATTCATCTGGTGAAGAGATTAGTGGAGCAGTATAGGGAAAGGAAGAAGGACTTGCATATGGTACGATAAAGTCCCGAAGGAGGTTCTATGGAGGTGTTTGGAGGCTAGCGGCGTTCCGGTAGCGTACACTCGGGTGATTAAGGATATGTATGATAGTGCTAAGACTCAAGTGAGAATTATGGGAGGTGACTCGGAGCATTTTTCCTATTGTGATGGGGTTGCACCAGGGATCGATTCGTAGCCCGTTTTTATTTGCCTTGGCGATGGATGTGTTGCAACGACACATCCAAGGGGAGGTGCCTTGGTGCATACTATTTGCCGATGATATAGTGTTGATTGACGAGACGCGAGGCGGAGTTAACGCGAGGCTGAAGGTTTGGAGACAGACCTTGGAGTCTAAAGGTTTCAAGTTGAGCAGAACCAAAACAAAATACTTGGAGTGCAAATTCTGTGACGGGACCCATGAAACAGACGTAGATGTAAAGCTTGATGCTCAAGCTATCCCCAAGAGAACTAGTTTCAAGTATCTCGGGTCTATTATCCAAGGTAACGGGAAGATTGACGAAAATATCACACATCGCATCAGAGCGGGATGGATGAAATGGAAGCTCCTTTCTGGTATTTTATGTGATAAGAATTTGCTGCCAAGACTTAAGGGTAAGTTTTATAGGGTAGTGGTTCGACCGACTATGCTGTATGGGGCTGTGTATTGGCCAGTCAAGAACTCCCATGTGCGGAAGATGAAAGTAGCAGAAATGAGGATGTTCAGATGGATGTGTGGGTGTACCAGGAGGGATAAGATTAGGAATGAAGCTATCCGGGACAAAGTGGGAGTAGCCTCCGTAGAGGACAAGATGCGGGAGTCGAGGCTGAGATGGTTCGGACACGATAAGAGGAGAAGCATTGAAGCTCCCGTTAGGATGTGTGAGAGGTTGGCCATGGCGAGTTTGAGAAGAGGTCGAGGTAGGCCTAAGAAGTATTGAGGAGAGGTGATTAGGCAGGACACGGCGCTGCTTCAGCTCACTGAGGACATGACCCTTGATAGGAGGGTGTGGAGGTCGAGGATTAGGGTAGAGGTTAGTAGGTAGTTGGGAGTTTCTTGGTTGCTCACCAGTAGTCTTAGTAACACGCATGTCCATTCATATTCTCATATCTTAATTGCGTTATGTGGTTTTATTTGCCTCGGGTGTTGTATTCTCTGTTGTTATTATTTGGTACTACTTATCCTTTATCTCCCTCTTTTTCTTCTCTTTCCTTTCTTGCTTTCCTTCTTCTTCTCTTCTTCTTCTTTCCGAGCCGAGGGTCTATTGGAAACAGCCTCTCTACCTTCATTAGGTAGGGTAAGGTCTGCGTACAGACTACCCTCCCCAGACCGCACCTGTTGGGACTTGCGAATACACTGGGTATGTTGTTGTTGTTGTTGTTGTATCCTTAATATTGTTTTAATAATTTATTTATATTTATATTGTTATATCCTAGAAACAATCTAGCAGGGCAGTTGGTCTACTAATCAGTTCTTTCTTACTTTCTCATGTGCTGCCATGTGACCAGGAGGTCACGGGTTCGAGCTGTTTGCCTCTTACAGAAATGCAGGGTAAGTGCTGCGTACAATAGATTTTTGTGGTCCTTCCCGGACCCGCGCACAGCAGGAGCTTAGTACACTGGGCTGCCTTTTTGCCGAGGGTCTTTCGGAAATAGCCTCTACCTTAGGTAGGGATAAGGTCTCGTACACACTACCCTCCCCAGATCCCATTTGTAGGATTTCATATTTTCACTTGGGTTTTTTTGTTGCCATGTGCAATGATGAATTGAGAGTAGAATACTCCTTCGTTGCAATGTTCTCAACCATATTTTCGTTATAAATAGGCGTAATCGCATAACCTTTAGACAAAAAGCGGAATCTTACTTCTAGAAATAAGTAACTTTATGCCACTCAGGATACTAATAAATGTCACTCTTTTAGTAGTAAAATGGAAAGCCCAGAACCAGTGTAATTAATATGGATTTAAGTAGGCAGAATAGCCTCATAAACCCCTATACTTGTTTCAGTTTGTCATCCCGGTCCCTGTATTTCACGAAATTTCACTCGAACACTTGTACTCGATCAAAATGAATAGTTTAAACCCCTCCTTATATGCGTGAGTCTCACTTGCGCTGACATGGATAACACATCAGATCCATGTCAGATGCATATATCCACGTCATCATCTTCTTCTTTGCAACTAAATTATCTTTCTCCTCCACGCCAATTTTGCACTTCACAATATTCTCTCCATTTTCAGAGCCTCCAGGAAATTCACCAAAAAATTCATTTGCTTCAACTTCTTCTCTTTTTTTTTTTACCATAGTTACTGCTTGTGAAACTATTAGATTCAATTTTTCTGGTTAAGAAAATGGTTGCAAAAACAATAAGGCGGCACCAGAGAGATCCCAACTTTCTTCCTCAAATCACAGTTTTTTTCACCCAAAGAGATCCCAATTTTTCATACAATCTGATTGCTATCATCATCGTCATCTTGACCTTCGTCGGAGCAAGTGTTTAAAAGCAAAATCAGGTGTTTGCTCACGAATAAGTTGATTGCCGTTCTCCCCAAACTCATCCGCCATAGCCAATGCCCGTAGATCTCAAGGTTAGTCGTCAATGACTCAATCCACAAATTCTTATTTTCGATTTCTTTATGACTCGTGAAAATTTGCATTCTTCAGTAAACTCCCACTTAAGAACAGGAAAAAAGCCATAATGTTATATCCACTGTAGTTGTCATTTACCTCCTTCATATGAAGGGTGGCGGTGGTCTTGATGGAGGAGGGGTACGGGGCAGAAGGCAGCGGGTGGCGGGTGATGGATAGCGTAACTTTACTGGGTGCTGGATAGGTTTGAAGATGGGACGAGGGGTTATTTTCCCTTTTACTTTTATTTGTTCTATTATTCTTTTTCTTTTTATTTTATTATATTTGAATTTTTGCTTCCAAAAAATTAGATTGTAAGTTCACGCTCTCTTTGCGCGTGCATACTACGCAATTCTTACTACTCAGCAAAACAAATGCCACATAAGCTTGGTCAACGGTCAGAGGGGTTTAAAATATTCATTTTGATCGAGTACAAGTGTTTGAATGAAACTTCGTGGAATATAGGGACCGGAATGACAAACCTGAAAAAGCAAAAGAGTCTACTAGGCTATTCTGCCATTTAAGTATAAAATTTGGAGGTTTTACGCTATCAATAGTTATAGCAGTTTAATTACCATTTTGCTAGGTAATCAATAAATGCTTATAAGGGGATGTACCGGTATAGAAAACCCAATGGACGGGTCTCTTGGTGACGACATCTTCGTAATACCAAATGAAATCGACCTTCTGCCAGACATTACACAGAAATCCGTCGAAGGAACGCTGACCAAGGTAAGTAGCTCCGTCAAGCCAATTAGGTCTGAGAATCCCAACATCAAGCTGCGCGGAACGACACTCCTTATTGTCGTCTAAGGTATAGAAGAAACTGGTGCCGTTATTCCATTCGAGGTCGTAGAGAAGTTTCCCTAGCTGGTTCTGGATAATGTTGAAGTTGCGGCCGTTGGTCCAATCGTACCAAAGGTCGATTAGGCTTAAAGATCCGCTGTAGTTAACGAACAGTAGGGAGTGGAATTGCTGTGGCCATGGGGCTGGTTTAGGGTCCGATTCGACTAATGATGAACATGGATGTATGAAGAAGCCATTGGAAATCCATACTGCGGCAACGACAACTAGTCCGAACGATACACTCCTCATGCTCACTGAAATGGCCTTAAAAAGTCAATGGTGATTGTCTGTCCTCTCCAGCGTACTTCTCATCTTATCTTATGAAATGATAAGACTCAATGTTGATAAAAACTCCCTCAACTCAGGGTAAATTACAGTTAGCTCTTTGCACTTTAGCATTATCACAGAAACTGCTCCATATTTTACAAGAAATGTACAAATATCCGCTCTTATACCTAATTTTTTTTTTTTTTTTTGTTTCCCACCCGGTGTTTGGTACTCACATTGGGGCCCGACTAAATTCGGATTCGCGTCGGAAAGTCCCACATTGGGGGTAAAGCGCTCCCTAACATAGGTGACTCCATACCAGGGGCTCGAACTCGAGACCTCTGGTCAAGGATGAAGGAGTACTTACGACTCCACCACAACCCTTGTTGGTCCTACCTAATTAGATTAAGGGAATTCACACTATACGATGATTTAGGAGCATTAATAACATCATTAGTTGATATTTTTAAATAATTATCCAACTTAACAACTACTTCTACTCCTGTTGTACACTTTTACTTATTCACTATACTAAAAGTATGTTTTCACTTTTACTTGTCTCATATACTAAACAAGAGAAGACAATCTTTCTTTCCTGTTTATCCTTATCATTAACTACTCATTCCCCTAATTATTTTCAAGACTTTTAAGAAATACTATTATTATTATGGATAAAATAGTAAAATATATACTTTATTTTTTTAAAGGGAGTGCAAAGTCAAGAATTAACAACTAAAAATGAACAAAGGGAGTATTTTAAGCCTATAACGATCCACCAGTCATTTTGAGTATTTTAGCCTCGTTTCCTTTTTTGAAGTTGTCACGACCCCAATTTTCCTCTGTAGGATATCGTGATGGCACCTAGTCTTCAAGACTATGTAAGCCTAACACTTACTGAATTAATGGCAAAATTCAACCAACAACTATTAAATATAAGACGGAAATTTCTATACAAAGCCAATAATCCTAAAACTAATAGTACAAGTCACAAGCTCTACTGAGTTCACTAAAGAAAATCTCTAAGTACAATTATTTCAGAATAGAATTAAAATGTACAAAAATAACTTCCGAAGGTGACTCCAAGGCCTGCGAACGCGACGGCAGGTATACCTTGAAGTCTCCACGGCAATATCTGGTTCGCTATCTAATAATCAACACACTCCGAAGTACCTGGATCTGCACAAAAAAGTGTAAAAGTGTAGTATGAGTACACCACAGTCGGTACCCAGTAAGTATCAAGACTAACCTTGATGGAGTAGTGATGAGGTACAAGTCAAGACACTCACTAGACAAAATAACTTGTACAGTATAGAAGTATAAAGCAAATAATGCACAACAAAAATCAATAAATGGCTACACAATCAATATGTGACATGAACGGTAAAAGTAATAAGAACACCGTGAAGTATTATTGAAACCAATTAAAAAAACACATAGGACAACCAATTACTCAACCGTTCTACACAAATTCCACAATGAAATCACTCCCGTGATATTCATCTCATAGTCACAAGTCACGGGTCTCAATCCATCATCATATACTCACGGCACCTTGCGCCCACACTCCAAATCACAATCGCATGGACAACTCACGTGCTAATATCTCAATTTGTCCAGCATAATCACAGGCTCGTAGACATGTAGTTTTTGACTCTCCCCAAGTTTTTACACATTTTGGTGTTAAATATTTAGTTTAGGTCTAATATCGCTATTCTAAATAGTTTTGACTCTTTTACTTTATTTTATCACAAAAATATTTTCTTTTATTTAGCTAATTGATATTTTATCTAGCTACTTTTAGTTTATCTACCTTACATAAAATTCGAAAATACAAAAAAACAGTTCCACTTTATTTTTCAGGAATATTATTTTAATTGTTGCGATGATTTTAATCTAATCCCATTTTTATTTTTAGGTTGATATTTGAAAAATACCAGAAATAGGTTTGTTTTAACGGTTAGTTTTATTTTAATAGTTATTTTACTTAAGTAGGATTAATTAATAAATGGGGTAGTATTTTTAGTCTTGTTGAAGGAGAAAGAATAAAATTTTGGGCTCAAACAACCCATTTATTAGGCCCAATTTTCGGACCCTTAGCCCATAGATCCAAACCCAATACCCATAAAACCCTAACACTTTAAAAGGACTCTTCTTCTACATCTTCACAACCTAGACCTAGCAAAGACCAAAATAACTAAACTTTAAGAAAAAACGGCGCACAACC